TAAGCATGAAAGTAATATTTGATACAATAGTAGAACTCTCTAAAGAAATGGAGTTGTTAACTGCTCATACTGGAAAATCAAGCCTTGCAGTGTAACATTTTAAACAAGCAGTATGATTCTCAATTTCTACAATTTTTACTTCAATACTTGTTTACAAAATTCAATTTATCTTATTGATAAATTGGTTATTTTACTTGCAGATTTGTAACCTAGCAAAAGCCTACATGGTTGAAGCAAAATGGTGCCACAAGGGTTACATTCCAACATATGATGAATATAAAGCTAATGGAATCTTAACATCTTGTTGTCCTCTATTGTTCACATCAATGATATGTCTTGGAGAATTTGCAACAAAGGATGTGTTGGATTGGATTTTTAGTGATCCAAAAATCCTTCAAGCTTCATCAATTATTGGCAGAGTCATGGATGACATGGCCTCACATAAGGTATACCAATTTACTTATGATTCACGTGCATTATTATTTATTCATCTAAATACCATAATCTTTCTATGTATCTCTCTCTCTTCCCTCTATATATGGCTTAATTAGTTATTATTAAAATTATTGTATTCTTAACTGGACTTTTTGATTTTCTTTGATTGATACATAGTTTGAGCAACAAAGAGTACATGTCGCCTCATCGGTGGAATGTTGCATGAACCAATATGGAATTTCAGAAGTAGAAGCCTATAAGCTTATTCGCAAGGACATTGAAGATTGTTGGAAGGTTATAAATGAAGAGTACTTCAATTCCTACAATATCCCCAAATCTGTGCTTGATTGTGTAGCTAATTTTGCACGTATGTCAGAGTTTTCATATGAAAATCGTCAGGATAAATTCACAAATGGAGAATTATTAAAAGATGATGTTTCTTCTCTACTTTTGAATCCTATTAGCCTCGAAGAATGCAAGTAGAAGAAGCTGTCTCACATATAAGAGGAGCACATCTTGTTTTAACTTTAGGACGTACTATCATAGTGCAATATGCACTAGCTAGCATAAATAAAATGGCATTGTGGGTGTGAAAGTCGATCGATTCATCCTACATGAAATGCTCAATGTGTAAGTTGTGGTAAATAATGTTGTTTGTAGTCGTGTGTGGAATCATTTGCTAATAAAATTTGTGCTTGTTAATTTTTTTATCGCTATCATTTGTTATTCAAATCTTACTGCTTAATATTTCATTATTCTCGCCGCAAGCCATCAAACCACTCACTCTAATATGCCATATGCATGCAAAATCACAACCATTAATTGCGCCACACACATGATTTGCTATCACTCATCACCGCTTAGCCTTTACTTTAATTGTGGGATTATATGTATAGTTAGATAATGCTTTCATAAACATAGAGCATAAATAATAAAAAAAGGTTTAATATGTTTTTATTTCCTTGATAAATTTATTTTTCTCTCTCAAATTTAAAATGATTACTTTTAGTCTTTGTAATTTTCAAAAATCTTGTTTTAATCCCTCATATTATCAATAGCATATATGAAAGTGACAAATTAAGACGGTTATAAAATATCAATTGAATTTAATGTGATGTTCTCACTAATACAAACATAAATAGATAGATTTTATGTAATAATGTTTGATAAATTTCTTAACAAAATTTGAATATAAGGACTACAATAAGATTCTTTTAATTTGAATACAGAGACTAAAAATAACAATTTTAAATTTGAGTGACCAAAAATAAATTTATCCTATATTTGATGGACCAAAAACATATTTAAAGCTAAATTTTTTTAAAGAAAAATATAGAAAAATGTATAATAAAAATAAATATATATTAAAGAAATATAAGTAATAAAAATCATTGATTTTTTATTCATCTTTTCATGCGCGTGTGTTTTGACTTTTATTTGTCATTTATCTTAATTAAATATTTTCTTTTCTTTTCTTTTAGAACAATTTTATTTGTATACATTACATATAGTATATTAATTGTTATCACTTTCAACTGTTATTTAGCACGTATGACTATGCATCTTCTCTCGAAAATTCTAACATGAAACAGTAAAAAATATGCCTCATGGATGAATCATTAGTTTTAGTCATTAGATATATTAATAAAAAAATCAATGCTCGAGATCGAACGAAATTGAAGGTAGGCAATCCACATAACTGGTAAACTCATTCCCATCAAACACGCAGCGACGTCACCGTGGCCGCACGCGCAGCGGCGTCACCATGGTCGTAGGCTGCACCCGTAGCATCATTGTCACCGCACCGCACCCGTACCGCAAGCTGCACTCGTACCGTCACCTTCGCCGCACCGCACCCGTACCGTCTTTGCACTCGTAGTCAAGGACGGAGCCAAGGGGGGACCTACGGGTGCCACGGCCCCCCCAACAATTTTAATTTTTTTTTTATATTTTTTTTTATATGCTTTTGATACTTTAATTTTCATTTATTATAAATTATATATTATTTATTCTCGGCCCCCCAGTATTGAAATCCTGGCTCCGTCCCTGCTCGTAGTGTCACCATGGTCGCACGACCGCACCTGTAGCGTCACCGTTGCCACACTCGTAGTGTCACCATGGTCTCACGACCACACCCGTAGCGTCACCGTTGCCGCACCACACCCTTAGCACAGCGGCGACATCACCGTGGCCGCACGCACAGCGGCTGAACCTAGGGTTTCAAATTTCTTTCCTCTGCTCGTAATCAAATTTTGCTATGCCTAACCGGAGAGAACGAGATTTGTTCTACGGCGACGCGAACGGTGAGGGTTTCGACAATTCCTCTTCAGCGGACAGTAGCAACGTCATCATCGTGGCCGCACGGGTAGTGGCATCGTCACCGTGGCTGCACGCGCAACGACGTTGTCACTACCGTGGCCACATGCACAGCGGCAACGACACCATTGTAGCTCTCAATTTTTTAAATTTTTTTTATATTTTTTTGGTTAAAAACTTGTTATTTCCGGTCATTTTTAGTGCCTCATCCATGAGGGACATTTTTCCCTACTTCATGTTAGAATCCGTCATCTTCTCTAATGGACTTGCTTTAATTTTGACCAAACATATAACTATTGTATAAAATCTTTTAAACATCTCAATAATGTTGATATCTCAAAGTTAGAGGTGAACAAAATGAATTGAATTGAACTGAACTTAAAAAAACTATATTAAACTTAGAAGTACTTCATGTGAATTGAGTTGTATTATATGTTAGTTCAGGCAAACTGAACTCTTCTTTTTGTTTTATTGAATTGAACTGCACAACAAAAATTTGAATTGAACTATAATTTGAATTACATTAAACTGTCATAATATTTTGAATTGAATAATTTTGACTCATTGATCCATTAAGACGAGATACATTTGCAATCTTTATTCTATTTTCTATTTTATTTAAATTTTTTACATAAAAATTATAAAAAAAAAATCAAAGTCAAACAAATTTGATGGATTTCAAGCCTAAAAATTAGTAGACCAATTTATAGTTCAGATCAATCCAATTTTCAAATAGTTCAATTCAGTTTAATTTTTTTTAATTAGTTTAGTTCAATTTTTTTATAATGCAGTTTAGTTCAATTCACCACTAATTCAGTTCATTTTATTTCATTTTTTTTACCCACCCCTACTCAAAGTCTATCAATCATCTACAATACATTCATATATGTATTATTATAGAGAAAGGAAAAAAAAAAACAAAGTTACAAGAAAACTAGGCCAAAACACACATAACAAGCAAAAAAAAAAAACCTTAAATAAGATAAATAACAATGATTACGATAGAAAATCTCTGGATCACAAAAGTGGGTAATACATCCTATCGAACAAAATCCACATGATTACCTAAAAGTAATTTATTTAATAGTCAAATTAAGCATGTTGGACCAAACCCAATTATTAGACTTAATTAAAACAAATTCTAATATGAAATAATCATAAAATTTTATAAAAAATGACAAAAAAATCAAAAGTCTTGAAAAAAAATTAAAATAATCTTTTCCCCAACAATATTAAAACTCTATTAACATAAAAAAGTGTAATTTAATTATCATTATACAATTTATACTTGACCAGAAAAAAATATTTCATACCTTTATTTAAAAATAAAATAAAAATAAATAAAATAATAAATGGTTACATGTACCGAGAAACTTGAAAACTGAATGTTTTGGAGTAGAAAAAGAGGGAATATATATATATATATATATATATAT